AAATTGCAGGAATGTGGCAGCACAGCATTGGCGCTCTGATTTATTAATTCCATCCCATCCCACCAGCCCATAAAACAAAAGCATCTGTGTTTGCTCAAGAGGAGCACATGAAGGGCCTCATTCACGTCAGAGGTGGAGAGGGAAGCTGGCAGATACAGGCAAGTCGTCGGCGCCTCCTTCCTTTTCACCTTTGTATGGATTCGGGCTGGGGGAAGGGTGCACGGAGGTGGAAGGCAGCAGTCCACGGGGTATCAGGAAGGAGGAAGCTAAGGTGATTCTGGTGGTCTTCATGAGCTGGGCAAAGTGGAAGGGAGGAGGGACCCAAGGAACGTGCAAAGCTGGGCTGCCTCCAGCAAGGCAGGCATCCCTGCACTTCAGAGAGGCCTCTGGATCCTTTGTGGCCACCAGGGCTCACCCCGCACTGTCCTTAGAGGTGGCCCTTCATATAGGGTTGCCCTAATGAGCCCCACTCTGCTGCTGTGGGCACAGCCAGGGCTTTCAAGAAGCCCTGAGGTTGTCCTTGCAGAGAACCCAGCACTGCTGCCGAACCCACAGATACGAGCATCACCAGAGAGCAATAAATTAAATCTGCCAGCCAGAGGAGGAAGATCCCCTTACAACAGTTTGTAGCATGCTTTCAGAACGAGAAAGGCTTAGAGTGAGACAGATATTAACCATCCTACTTTATGGGCATGGATGGGGAAAGCAGCAAGCAACCTCTACTCCTGCAGGGCTAGGACGGACCGTCCTGCTTCTAGGAAGAGGTTCTGAGAGTTTTGTCCCACACAGAGGACCTGGCTAAGACTGCTTTTCTATCTCTGCCCCCAGAGGCAGCATCTTCTGGAGCTCGGCTGCCTGGTGGCACTGCACTGGGAGCATCACCACAGGGCAAGCAGGGGCTGCAAGCTGCTGCCTGCCCAGTCCTCGGCTTTTCCCCAAGTTCTCCCACACAAGGGCTGCCTAGGAGCGATCCCTCCTTGCTGGCAAAACGCAGCTCCCATGTGCCCTGTACTCCCACACACAAACCCGCTGTGAACTCACAGAAGGAAACAACGCTGCTGCTCTGAAATCACGTAACCAGAACCGTGACTGTCTGACTGCTCGCCCTGTCCAGCTCCGGGTAATCCCAGTGCTTCGCTCGGCTACAGGCAGGCTGAACTAGGAATAAGTGCCCTTGCTCTCGTTGCTGAGGGGTAGCATCCAATTTTCTTTTGTAATGCAGCAGAATTCATAAAGCAGCAGCACACGAAGTTGCCCAGGCTGCTGGCAGCCTGTTCAAATCAACAGCAGAGGTAGGGGAAACAGCAGCGTGAGCACCACTGGACCAGCTCAAATCTCAGCAGAACTTAACCTGAATCAGCTCCCGCTGGCAAAAAACAAACCTGTGCGAGCTAGGTGTCAGCATGCAGGCTGGAAAACACAGATTTTTTTATTTTTCTTTTTGCTTCTGCATAGAAATGAAAATAGGAATTGCCCCAGTGGTCTCCATTCAAGCACATCTGTCTCCTATCATCTTTGTCTCACATTGATCACTGTTGTGTGTTTCAGAAGGTCCAAGAAATCCTGCGCCAGAGAACCGTGAGAGGTTGAGGCCTGAAGATTTAGATCTATTTCAAATGGACAGTCCCGTCCAGTGACGAGCGATCTATAATCCATCAAAATGCCTCCTCCTCCCTTGAATCCTCCACCCAGCATCAGCAGCACCTGGTAGCAGTGAGTTCCATATGTCACTATGCGCCGCACGGGAAAATACTTCTCCCATCAAATTGCTACCTTTCGCGTTTTCCTGAGTGCAACCCAGCTCTAAGCAAAGTGATGTAGAGAAGCATTTATTCTCCTCGTTCTACGATGCTGGCTGCTTTGTTTTTTCACCCCGGTGTCCCTCCTCATTTTTCTCCCTGAGCTAACTAGCCCCATCTTAAGGCACATCGCTGCGCGCACGAGGCTTTTCTGGGAACACCTGCCTGAGGAGGGAAAAATGGCAAGCACAAGCTAAAGGACCCTGTGCTGGAGCTACAGATCCCAGCTCTGTGTCATAGCCCTGAGAAAAAAAAAGTCTCTCCTGGGGAAATTTAGCTCAGATTTTATAAATGTGAGGGACGTGCAGAGTGCACTGGTTTTAGCTCAGGGAGAAGGCTCTCAGCCCCCCGCGCCGTGCGGCAGAGGAAGCCAACAAGGCAGCTGATTGAACACTTGGGAACACGGGCAAAGCAGATAAATTTGAGCTCTTAAGGAAAGACCTCCGGGAGCACTAATGTCACTTGAGAGGGAGCTAGAAGAGACTTCTCCGAGCTCTTAATTACGAGCCTGCACAGCTTAGAACAGGATAAAGGATGGAGCTCTTTACAAAGGCACCGACCGCAGGTTGGGGCACAGTTTGGAGGCACATTGCAGCCTGGAGGGATGGGTCGGGTCCGAGAGGAGGGTGATGCTGGCTGCAGGTCTCATCTGCATGCTGTATTTCTCAGCCTGTTTACGGTTTTAAACTGCAGTCCTGTTAGTCTGAGCTGCTCCCCAGTGCTTCTCAGAGAGGCAGGGAGACGCCGATCTGATCGGATCCGATCCGGGGCTGTCTCAGCTCTGATGCTATCAGCTGCAGCGTCTCCCTTGTGAAGAGGGGGGTAGTCACACTGACAAACAGCTCTGCATGTGGGCAGGGAGTGCTCTTCATCACGTATGCGGAGTACTTGGGGATCTCTGGATGGGAGGCTGTGCGGGTGAGCATAATGCTTATTGTTAAGCAGAAAGGCCGGGAGCACAAAGGGCAGGAGGATCCCGGGCTTCTCCAGGGCTTTGCAGGTGCCTTGGACCTGGCTTCCAGCCTGCCTCATTCCCACCTGGTTAGGCTTCGTCTTTTCTTAGGAACAATTAAACACAAGGAGGAAGGGGACAGATATCATCTTTCCTGTGTACATCCTGCAGAATAATTGCAGGGCTCTCCCAGGGCGATTTTGCATGCTCGGTAAAGGGCATCTTTGGAGCCTATCAGGTATCTCATCCCTCACCGTCGCAGCAAGGCTTGTGGTGTACCTAGGGAGCGCTCTGCTCCTCTCCCAGACGTCACCCTGGTGGGACAAGGAGGTGAGGGGCTGCGGGGGCCAGCTCTGAGAAACAGGGGGCTGCAAGGAGGTGACCTTCACCACGGACCACCCTGGGGACGAGGGGAGGAAAGAAGCCCAAGGGTAAGGCTGTTCTTGCTCTTGGGTACTGGGGACGGATCCTGGACTGCTGTTGAAGCAGGGGGATGTGCCCTGGCTTAGAGCACCTCCACCAGTGCTGCATGGGCAAGGAGAAAGGGCACTAGGCACACAGGAGACACCGCCTTGAGCTGCCCAGCACCGCCTTGGCTGCTCTGCAGGAAAGATCCCATTGAGCAATGCTGAGTGCTGGTCACAAAGACGTTCCCAAATCACAGAAAGCAATGTGAATTTAAGGGCTGTGGGGTTGTACGCCTGGAAGTACGCTCTCTCTTGCATGCATTTGGCTGCTCTATAGCTCTGTACAGCTCCCTAGGCAACAGTCTTCCCAAATGGCACCGTAACGAAACCCAAAGGTGCAGGAGCTAAGCTCACTAAAAACCCTTTCCATGGGCATGAGTGCAGCCCAGCTGCCTTACTTTCTGCCCATGTCTCACAAGTCAGGTCAAGGCCCTTCCCCATGAAGGAGTCTACATCTCAGCCGTCCCCAGTGCCAGCTGCTTGAATCGCTTTGGAATTGCAAGGTTGCCTAAATGGTTTATCAGTTATTGTAATTATTATTATTATTATTACTGCCACACCGAAAATGTCAAAGAAGCGGAGAGGCCCTACATTGACACCATCCAATTCCTGAAATACCCGACACCACGGGTGAGCCACTCAGTGCAGCCACCTCTGGCATGGGCTGCCCTGCGGAGCCCGAACTCAGCGCAACTCAAGTGCCCTGCAAGTGATACTGAAGCAGCTCCCGGGAGGGAAAGGGGGGGGGCGGAATAAATAAATCTCAGCCTCGTGCCAGGACACAGCGTGTGCTCAGCCGTACAGCGTGTGCCCTGCCAGCAGAGAGCTTCCAGGAAACCGGGGGGTGAGCAAGAGCCATCGTGCTTCGAGGTATGGAAGGAGGGGGCTCGGTGGCATGCAGACAGATGTGATACCCGGCCCCACCGGTGCCCCCTCCCTGTTAGCTGAGGCTCATCTCCCCAGCATCCCCTCCAGTATCTCATTTTGGAGCAGTGGCAGCCTCCCTGCTGCCAGGACCCCGTCCTGCTGCTGCTGTGCACCCAGCCTCATTCCCTGGTCCCGTCTCCCAGCCTTGGGCTCTCCAGCAGCACCAGGGATGCGAGGCATGCACCTCACCTTTCTCACCGGAGGAGATTTGAACCCGAGCAGCATCAGGGGACCAGACCTGCGTGCGTACCCTGCTGTGCTCAACATACGTGCTCTGCACCAGGAGGCCTCCTCCGAGCACAGGGAAGGCGCCGAAAGCACCTGCAGAGGCTGCATCGCTCGTGCTCCCCGGCTCACTCGCGGAGCCCCTGCGAGCCTCAAGTTGCCGGCCGGGTATTTATTGCCAGTCATCGCCGCTCTGCTACGGGGATGCTCGGCGCTGCCCAGAGCACCCCTTTTCCCCCAGGCGTGCGTGGAAATCGCCCCCCGGCAGGCCTGCCGAGGGAGATGCTGAGGAACCAGCTGCTTCTCCCCAGCCTCGCTAGCTGCAGGGGGGGGGAGCTGCCAGCCCCAGGGTGAGCAGCAGAACGAGGAGGGAGGAATTCAATACAACACAATAAAATAAAATAAAAAGTACTTTCCAACTCACCCACCCCAAACTCAGCATCCCCAAAGAACCCCCTTGCGCATGGCGAAGCAAGAAGGGGCTGGGACCCCCCCGGGGCTGGGAACCACCCGCCCCAGAGCTCTCCCCCGTTAGGGTCTCTCCCCCCTCAGGGTTTTTTTGGGGTTGGCGACGCACGGGACCCCAAGGTCACCCCCCGCCGACCCCCCGTCCCCGCAGCCGGCGCTTACCTGGCGGCCGCGCAGCCTGGCCGGGGGTCGCCGGGGGCGCACGGCGGTGCCGGGGGGGTGCTGCTGCCGGGGGGCATCGCCCGACACCGCCGCTGCTGCCACCACCGCGGCCGGCAGCAAGCCGGGAGGGCTTGGCGGAGCCGATTTAAGGCCACGCCGACGGGGCGGGAGGGGGTGGGCAGCATCCCGCAGCGCCGCCCTAAGAGGGGAGAGAGGGAAGGAGGGGGGAAAAGGGGGAGCCCTGCAGCGGGTCGGGGGGCTACGGGACTCCCCCGGTCGTCCTGAGGTCGCGGGGAGGGTGCTGAGGGTCTTGGTGTCCCTTATGGGGTCGCCCCCCCACACACCCCTGTTGTAGGGGATGGGGATGGGGATGGGGATGGGGATGGGGATGGGGATGGGGATGGGGATGGGGGTGGCACGGGGAGGGGCAGCGGGTGGAGACAGCCGGGGTGGGGTGGGGTGGGGAGGGGTGGTCGGGGTTGGCCCCCGGTTCCTAGGTTCCTGCTGTGGGGTGTGCTGAGCAGGGAGAGAGGTTTTGGGGTTTTGAGCTCCTCACCAGGGAGGTGCGCTTGGAGAAGGGCAAGGGGGCTCCGAGTCCCTCCTCGGCTGTGCTCCTGGAGTAGGTGCTGCTGAAAATACCCTGGGAAGGGAGGCATGGGGCAAGGCATTGCACCCCAAAGACTATTTACAAGGTGAACCCAACCTGGTCTCTCCCTTGCCCAAAGGACACCACAGACCCATGGCCGTGCCCACCAGCACCGTGCTCCCTCACATCTCCCTCGGCCAGAGCAGGGTGCACACAGCCACCCTCCTGCCCACCCAGCTGTCCCAGGCCACCCTCACCGTGGGGACACGAGGCACAAACCCCTCGTGGCCAGCCAAGAAGGATGGTCACCCCTGGGAGACCCCCCCGAGTACAAAGGCAGGAGGAAGAGATTAGATCTGAGAGTGCTGGCAGCTCTGGGAGTTTTGGGGAGATCTGCAGAGCATTTTTCTCTGTGGAGAAGCCAGAGGAGATTTACTGGAGGGGGTAGTGGGGTATCCAGCGTGCCATAATCTCCCTCATCCTGAAAGCACTGCCTGTGGCAGCATCCCCAGCTGCATGGCAGCGGGGACATCCTACTTCCACTGCCACCACGGCTGTGTCCCTCAGTGCCAAGTCCACATGTCTCTTGAATATCTCCAGGGATGGGGACTCCACCACTTCTCTGGGCAGCTTGTTTCAATGCTTGACCAAGATCCTTGAAGGTCCTACTACCCATGGATTTGGCTGTAGGACAGCAGGCACCTTGAGCAGGCGGGTGTGCGACCGAGGGCACCTGCCTGTTGTGAGCTTGCCCCTTCACCACACTCAGAGCAGGGGAGAAGCAAGCACAGGGTTAGTGGCTGGTGTGGTGAGCCTCAAACCAGGCGGGCACTAAGCTGACACCTTCCCCTTGAGCTGAGGGAAGACAAGTGGAAGATGCACATCTGAGGGATGCACTGGGACCCCGATGGTCTCACCTACCAAGCCCCTGGTCAGCCTGCAGCCTGATCCTGCTGTCACAGAGCTGCCTTCACCCAGCCGTCCCTCCCTCCCTCCCCAGGACAGAAATCCCATGCACACAAAACCCCTTTTCTTCCCAGCCTTTCGGGTTTGGTGAAGAAGCGAGGGCAGGAGGTGAGGAGGGGTCAGCGCGTGCCTCCCCGGGCCCAAGGCCGCTGCAGTGCCTCTCCCCCTGCTGGAAATCAGCCTCCGAAGGTGTGTGACAGGAACAAGCAGTCCTTGATCTGAAGCCTGCCATCCTTTGAAGAGCCCGTGCTCCAGCAAAGCAGCCAGCAATTGCTGCCTTGAAGAAAGCTGAAAAGCTGCTCTGCAAGCTCTGCAGTTTCATTCCTCTCCCCCTTGAAGCACCAGAGCTGTACACTAATCAAGCTATTTCTGCTACAAGCCGGGGAGGAAAGAAAGGGAGATTGTTAGTGTTATTGCTATTTTTAAATACTTTGCAGGCTCTTGAATAGGATGATGATGGGGGCCGTGTAAGGACCCAGACAGAGACAGATTGATGTGTGCTGAACGCATCTGTTATTCTCCAGTCGGGAGGCGGCTCCGTCGGTGGCACGGCTCCGAAGGTGCAGCAAGGAGCTGCACCGAGGATGGCTCCCGGCTGCCAGCAAGGCTTTGGCTCTGCTCTGCCAGGGCTCTCCGCCTCCTTCTGTACCGTCGTGAGGTGCCGTGACTGCGGAGGGGCTCCGGGCTTGCCAAAAACCCCTGGGAATTGATGTGCAGCTCCACAGCGTGAATCTTTGCAAGGGTCGCTGCATGCATGCCTGAGACTTCATGCACCTTCGTCTGTATTTGCGTATGCCTTGCACCCTAGGGATGAGGTCTATCCCCGAAAAATTAGCCTGAGTGACTGCCTTTCCCTCGACAGGTCCTAGAAAACCAACCTGCTCCAAAAGCCAAAGCAAAGAAATGCAGCGGAGGAGGCACTCTCAAGCTTTGGTCTCACCCCAGCAGCGAGGAATATTCCCACGTGGCAGGGGGAGGGCAGGGAGGTGAGGATGAACATAATGCTGATGGAGGGTTTTTTAAAAAATGCAAGCTCAGGTGACAACAGATTGAATTCCCTAGCCCTTGGAGCAGGTGAGAAAGCTGAAGATACATGGTCAACACCTGAAGGCAGCCCCTCTGTTCTCCCCAAACTCTTCAGTGATGGGTGGGAGCTCCACGTGCCGCTGGGGGATGATGCTCCAGCACCCCACCCCTCTGGAAAAGTTTTGCAGAAGGAAAATATGTATTTAGCTTTCAATCGATTTATATGCCATCCTCTAATACCGAGCAGAGAGTTATATGCTGACGGCTGATTTCTATAGGGTAGCTCTGGAAAAAAAAAAAAAGAAAGCCACTCTCTATTAAAATGTCAGCTTTAAGAATAGTTTTTATGCCATTCTGCCAGTCTCATCTCTGTTAAATTTGATAAGGCTCTTCCATAAAGGTAAGTAACTGCTTTTATAAAAAAAATAAAATACTTCTGAAGCGAGCTATCTGTTGAAAGCACGGGTGTTGCAGCTTTTGAAGGCGCTGCCGTAGGGAACCCATCTCTCCGCGGAGGGGGAGCCAGGGCAGGCCCTGCCCCTCGACACGCATGGGAGCGGGGCAGATCCATGTGTGCCATCGTTTGATTAACTCGAATGTTCATCTCAAGTCCAGAAGGACGCGGAGGGCCCTGCTTTCCCCAACTGCTGTGCTGACAGCGATGTCAAGCCCTCCTTTTTCCAGCGGCGGATCATGACACGTCCTTTGTCTGTCCCCGTGGGGAGGCGGAGGGAGGCCGGGGGTGGAGAACAGAGGCCAGTTGTCACCCAGCTCCTCGGCTACATGAGAAAGTGGCTTCTGTTTCCGAGCTCCTCTCCGCTCCGCGTCTTTCATCGACATCAAATTAAACAAGACTTTCTTTTGTGCGACGGGAATGAATGGTCCGCGTCAGGGTCAAATAGCACTGCCTGCAAAGGCTGGGACCTGCCTCGCACAGTATTGGCTTGTCCTGCAGGCACACAATCGCCATCGTTGGACGTGCCCCGGAGGCAGGCTCCCTTCCTGGCACTGGACACATGGGGGCAGAGTCCAAGCACCCAGGCAAGGAAGGAGGCACACGCCGGGGTGAGATACCCGTATGACATTGAGTGGTGGAGCAGGATTCGTCTTGGCTTGGACCCTGCTCTAAGGTTGGGGCTGGGGTGTGAGCTGGGCATGCCTGCAGTCTGCTGGAGCCACAGCTGGACAGGCCTTTATGAGAGACCTGCACCTGGAGGTTGGATTGGAAATCTCTTGATTAGGTGGTGTCCTGATCTGGGTAATGGTTTCAGTTCTGATTTTTGGTCTTTAAATGAGAGATGGCCCTAAATCCCTGGGGATTGTCCTAGTCAGCCGCACGCATCCTCCAACATGAGCCTGTGAAGGGATCTCAAGAACATGACAGAAACTTCTGATCACCCAGAATCAGCCTCCCACTGCAGGTTATTGGCCAACGCTGTTCTTCTCTGGTATGCATTCAGATCTTCATTCACCAAGTCTTGGTGATGATGTGGGTCCCCCCAAGTACATCATCGACTGGTGCCAGCCTTCCCATGCTGAGTAGCGGAGTTTGGACAGAGCCTTTTCTCATGGGAGGTCTGAATCCATTAATGAATAAGCAGAATTCGTAAATGAATGTCATTTGCTTGTCTGCAATGAAATTTGCAGCATGGTTTGTCTGAGGCCATGACCTCTCCCTCAACAATTGTGGCCTCCACCAGTACAATGGAGTCATGCTTAGGAGGTAGCTTGGATATTTCTGCTTCAATGCATTTAATACTCCACTTCTGGAGATCTCCTGAGCACAGTTCAGGCCAAGCTGATTACAGCTGTGCTGAGTGACATTGAAAAATATCAAATAATAATAAATAAAAAAGAGCTGGGTGCCAAGACATGCTATTCCCGTGTCAGTCAGCAGTGAGGAAGTGCATGCCATGGGCAAACCAAGGGCTTGAACAGGACAGCAGCCCGAAAATTAAAGGTTCTGCAGAAGTCTGAAGGAGTCTTGGTGATTGCTGTATTGTGTTACACTAGCAAATAGAAGGGTCACTGCACTGGGCTTTTTGTTAAAGGCAACTTAACCTTTAAGCTGTCAGTTTTGAGTGCTTATAATACAGGGCCAGGTAGGTCATTTTTGCAATGTGAAACTCTCTTTCCAGCCTGAAACAGAGCATCAAGCACAGGCGTGCCTAAATGATGTGCTGTGGCAATGCCATGAAGGGGCTCGGAAAGGTTTCAGACCCTCATGTGATGATCTCCATGCGTTGTCCTCATGCTGACGAACTGCCCCTAAGATTAAGAAGCAACCCTGCCCGACCTGAAACGGGAGGACAGACCCCCTGAGCAAAGCACTGGGATGAGCTCATGAGCACGGATATGGAATTCCCTTCCTCTCCATCCTCCTCCATCTGATGACCTCATCCCAGCTCCGGAGAGGCCACTCTGTGTGGGCGACTCAAACGGCAATTCAGTCCTCGGGCTCGTTTGGCTCTCAGCACCTCACCCACACAAATCCTGCCAATAGTCATTATTGTGATGCCTTCAGAGCTGCTTCCAGTGAGAAAAATCGGGAGAAAAATGACGGGTGGGTGTAACCTG